TACTTGGATAAAGATACTGTACCATTGAAAATAATTTGAATGTTTGGTATGACTTAGAACATCTCTCCAATGATTGCTTAATTTGAAACCATCTTCTCGGTTGAAATTGTGTCTGTGTTTGTAAATCTGAATTGCCTCGTGGTTTGCCCTGCGGGGCAAGGTCATGTGGGCAGTACACGAGCGCTTGTTGCACCTACTTGTGCATAAGATGCTGGCCACACTTAAGATGGACTTCTTCTGGCCTGGCATGGCTGAGGATGTCGCTAATTTGTTGAAAGGGTGTGCGCAGTGCGCACGGCGGAAGCTGCAAGCGAAACCCTGCAGTCCACCATTACAATCGATTCAGGTTTCCCGCGTGAATGAATTAGTTGCGCTGGACATCCTTGGTCCATTTCCCACTACCCCTCGTGGGAATAAGTACTTGCTGGTGGGAGTCGAGTATTTTTCACAATGGCCTGTGGCCTGGCTGCTCCCCAATCAGTCAGCGGCGACGATCATTGAGGCATTCCTAAAATGGAAAAGGGTGCTCCCGAACGTCTTCTGACTGATCAGGGAAAACATTTCTCTTCAAAGATGTTGCGAGAGGTATGAGACTTGTTGGAAAAAAAAAGTGCTTATGTCACCATACCACCCGCAGACGGATGGCAGCGCCTACACAGGACTCTGACGTACATATTGATCCACCAGGTCAGCGAGTCCAAACTGGACTGGGATTTACACATTCCTGGAGTCCCATCTGCATATAAGATGGCCCCTCACGCATCCACCGGCTACTCACCGCCTTTTATATGTACGGGAGAGAACATGACCCCCCCAATTGATATCCAGTTAAAAGCCACGCCCGACAAAGCTAAATCCAAAATTTCTGACTCTGTGCGTTTCACCCTTCAAAAGCTTTCCGAAGCGCGGGAAGCCTCTAGGGTAAATTCCGATTTGCGCCAATTGGCCAATGAGCGGCTGAGGGGTTCCCGTGTTTCTACACATGAGTGGGCGCCTGGGGACAGAGCCTGGTTGCACTGTCCACAGGTACTGGTGAGTACGTCGCCAAAATTGTTCAAACCTTAGAGAGGGCCGGTTGATGTGATTCGGGTCGTTCGACCACAGTGTGTCCAGATCCGCTGAGAGCGGCGGAGTTGGTTTGTGCATCCCTCGCACCTCAAAACTTTCATTGCGCCGCGCGAGTTCATTCCATCTCCACACCACAGGGGCCGAGTGTCAGATGTGTCCGGCAAGCCGGGGTGTGTGCCAACTGAGGGTGGTCCTCAGCGGAATCATGTGATCCCGTCCCCAGGTGCCGCCTGACGTCCCCAGCGCCGCTGCTTGCGCCTTGTCCACTGGATTCGGGAGAGGAGAACCCATCGACCCGGCCGCCTGCTCTTCGTGAGGAGCCGGGCTCGACCCGGACATTTGCATATTCCCCCCGGGACCTCCAGAGAGAGCGAGTCTACCTCCCCTGGAGGCCTGGCCACGAGGACTCGTTCAAAAACTCTTCGGGTTTCGTGATTCCCATGCACACACACCACGACTCCCTCAGTTGCTTGTCACACTCGGTAAGCCGCATTGGCTCTTAGCTGAACCTAACCCTTATTGTGCTTGCGGGTGTTGTTACATGGTGAGGGTGGGAAATCTTGTCGATTAAGGATTCCGAGCGTTCGCGGTTCACTGCACTGTTTTTTTCCCGTGTTGTTCTGTACTCACATCCTTTTCCCCATTGTTAATGTACATTTGTATGTACAGTGAGGGAAAAAAGTATTTGTACGTTTGCCCACTGACAATGAAATGATCAGTCTATAATTTTAATGATAGGTTTATTTGAACAGTGAGAGACAGAATAACAACAAAAAAATCCAGAAAAACGCATGTCAAAAATGTTATAAATTGATTTGCATTTTAATGAGGGAAATAAGTATTTGACTCCTCTGCAAAACATGACTTAGTACTTGGTGGCAAAACCCTCGTTGGGAATCACAGAGGTCAGACGCTTCTTGTAGTTGGCCACCAGATTTGCACACATGTCAGGAGGGATGTTGGCCCACTCCTCTTTGCAGATCTCCAAGTCATTAAGGTTTTGAGGCAAAACGTTTGGCAACTCGAACCTTCAGCTCCCTCCACAGATTGTCTATGGGATTAAGGTCTGGAGACTGGCTAGGCCACTCCAGGACCTTAATGTGCTTCTTCTTGAGCCACTCCTTTGTTGCCTTGGCCGTGTGTTTTGGGTCATTGTCATGCTGGAATACCTATCCACGACCTATTTTCAATGCCCTGGCTGAGGGAAAGAGTTTTCTCACCCAAGATTTGATGGTACATGGCCCCGTCCATCGTCCCTTTGATGCGGTGAAGTTGTCCTATCTCCTTAGCAGAAAAACACCCCCAAAGCATAATGTTTCCACCTCCATGTTTGACGGTGGGGATGGTGTTCTTGGGGTCATAGGCAGCATTCCTCCTCCTCCAAACACAGCGAGTTGAGTTCATGCCAAAGAGCTCCATTTTGGTCTCATCTGACCACAACACTTTCACCCAGTTGTCCTCTGAATCATTCAGATGTTCATTGGCAAACTTCAGACGGGCATGTATATGTGCTTTCTTGAGCAGGGGGACCTTGCGGGCGCTGCAGGATTTCAGTCCTTCACGGCGTAGTGTGTTACCAATTGTTTTCTTGGTGACTATGGTCCCAGCTGCCTTAAGATCATTAACATGAACCTCCCGTGTAGTTCTGGGCTGATTCCTCACCGTTCTCATGATCATTGCAACTCCACGAGGTGAGATCTTGCATGGAGCCCCAGACCGAGAGAGATTGACAGTTCTTTTGTGTTTCTTCCATTTGCGAATAATCGCACCAACTGTTGTCACCTTCATCATCACCAAGCTGCTTGGCAATGGTCTTGTAGCCCATTCCAGTCTTGTGTACGTCTACAATCTTGTTCCTGACATCCTTGGAGAGCTCTTTGGTCTTGGCCACGGTGGGGAGTGGAATCTGATTGATTTATTGCTTCTGTGGATAGTTGTCTTTTATACAGGTAACAAGCTGAGATTAGGAGCACTCGCCTTTAAGAGTGTGCTCCTAATCTCAGCTCGTTACCTGTATAAAAGACACCTGGGAGCCAGAAATCTTTCTGATTGAGAGGGGGTCAAATACTTATTTCCCTCATTAAAATGCAAATCAATTTATAACATTTTTTACATGCGTTTTTCTGGATTTTCTTGTTATTCTGTCTCTCACTGTTCAAATAAACCTTTGTCAGTGGGCAAACATACAAAATCAGCAGGGGATCAAATACTTTTTTCCCTCACTGTAGTGCAAAATCTTGTATAGGTGGGTTTGGGCATTTAATTGGTAATTGTTGTTGTTACTTGTTGAGGCACACATAGCGTTTAATCACTTTTTACTCACTTTCTTTTTATCACCTTACCCACTTAGTTTGTTTTAAGGGGGAGTTGACAGCCGGGACGGCTGAGTGCTATGAAGGGGGGGGGGGGGGAGTGGTGATCTAGCGACATCGTGAATGTCACTGTGTAATGCCGGCTCTAGTGAGGCACGGCGTGCGATGCATTGTCACCGCGGACACCGCGTAGGTGGGTGCAGTACCAGCCCTAGAGGGGGCTCGGTGAGCGCTGGGATAGCGCTCAGTGGCACCACGCGGGGTGTGCAGTGCTGACTTCTACATGAGGGAGAGTGTCAGCCATGGGATGAGGTTACCCTAGGCCATGGCACTCTGGTTGACCCTGGAAGGCACTGACAAGTAAGATCTACACAGGGGCCCCCTGAGATCCTATGGGAAGGGTCAAGAAACGACAAGAGGTTTCTCGAAGGTGGTCATGGCCAAGGGCGGGGCCAGCCACGATCCAGCAGCATATAAACCGGGTCCCCACAGGGACCGGGGCTCAGCGTTGCTGTTGTCATCTGAAGATCTACGATCTACGTTCTACGTCCAAGAAGAAGTCACCAACACGTGGACGAGGACGCAAGGTAGGATCCTGTCCGTTGTAGCTACTCGCAGTAACTAGCATAGTTAACCTGGTGGTCCACCACCATAGGTTATCTGGTAAAGGGGCAGTAACCCCTTTGTGTTAATGTGTTGGTGTTAATAAATATGTGTTGCCTCTAAGAAGTAGGTCTGCTACTCAGCTAAATCCACTACACTACCATTAAACATAATCTATTCCTCGAGTTTCCTGGCTGGTTGCTGGCTGTACTCCACTCCACACCAACAATAACTCTTGTTAGTGGTTGCAGGCCATTGCTACCGAACGTAGGTGGGTCACTGGCTAAACGGATTTTCCGCAGAGGAAATAAACGTTGAGTTACATTGAAACGATGGAAGAAGTTTGGAAGACATGAAATAGATAGCAAGACCGAAGAGGTGGGAGTAATTAATGCAGTGCTCAGAGTACAGCATTGTTAGAAGAGTGTAAAAATGACAGTTGTCTCTTATTTCCCATTTGCAGAGCAACGGGTGTTCTCTACGAGTTAGATTTGTGGAGTGGAAGATGCATCTGATCTCGTCAGGCCTCGAGAAAACTAAGGGATGAGCCTGGATAGCGCTTGACTACCGTGTATGAAACAGATAAGGGGAGATTGTAGAGGGCAGTGCTGTTCTCCCCCCACCCCCACTATTACCAATCAACTGTGACCAGCATGGTGAAGTATTATAATCTGAATATTTATTTATACTGCAGGAGGAATACGATGAGTTACAAAGCTTTTTTTCACAGACGTCCAGTATGGTCAATTATCCCTACACAGTGTGAATGAAGCCCTGATCCAGCAGTGGATTTAACAATCTGGCTTTACAGATACGCGTGAAAACGCATGAAGTCAAACAAGTCACCTTCACAGTAGCGGCAGAATGTTTACATTGAGGCATGGTTACATTGTCAAGATCGATGGTGGATGCAAAATGTAGACTGAGCGTGGTCATGAAAGCAAATGTTCAATAAATATCTCCAAACAAATATTGTTTGTACAACGGTTTTACATGAATAACACAGTGCATACTTACTCATAGAATACTTGGCTTTGTCTTTGATTTGAGTGACCTTTCCACCTTTAGTCCTCAGATCTATAGCTCTCTTCACTGCACGCAGGAAAACACAACCATGAATGCAAATTAATAAGCAACAAAATTGAGTTACAATCAGATCATTACATCAGCTGAATGAAAAACAGCACAATGTTATGCTGGAATTCATGAATAGATAAAAAAAATCAAACCATTGAGCTGTATTTTCTATAATGATGAAACAATTTATAACAATCATCATCCATGGTGATGAGATGTAAATGGCTAACCCAAGTTTATCGAAAGTTATATTTTCATTATAAGATTTGTCCTTTGCGATTTACCTGCACAATATATATTTTAAAATTTAGTTTCACCTAAAGTAAATTGGACGTAAAAATGTGCACACATACAGAGACAGAGGTTTGTGTGGCAGGATTAAGATTCCTGCTTAGAAAATCAGATGCCTTCTCGGAAAATGTGCAATTAATTGTCAACATTAAGTTAAACGCAACTGAATTATACGTGGCATGCGCTCACTGTCAACTCGGTTGAGACCAGCTTAACTTACATGGTTTCCATGGGCATGACGGCTTTGAGCGGGATTCAGTGAGGCTAACGTGACTCTCGGTCGCGCCCTGGCTCACGCACAGAGTCGCATCCCCCCTACTCCACCCCTCGCAGAACATGGAATAATCCAAATCAGTGGAGCAGTGTACTCGCTTGAGCAATTACCATCTTGTGCGGGGGGGGGGGGGGGGGGGGTAGGAAGTATTTGCCTGTCTGCCTGTCTGCGTGGGGCCTGGAACTAGGTTTGCCACCTGGTTCTGGTTTTCCCTGGATTGTCCTCTCTTGAGGTAGCTATCCTGGGAAATGTTTATGTATATCCGGGACATTAAAGGTCCCCGGTTTTTTTGATCAGTTACGAGACAATACAGCTCTGAAAACAACATATTTCAACGTACTCTAGCGCTTATCATCTGCTATTGTGATTTATTATTATTTTGTTCCACGATGAGTCCTGGTTTACAGTTTAGCCTGGGAGGTGGCGACCATACGTGGAACCCATGTAAACGCTGCACAAAGTCGAGCAACTCAGCGGCGTGGGGAGCACTTACTTTTGGGTGACGGTACGGCCGGCCGAGTTGCTCGACCTGTTAAGCAAATTTTGGGTGGTTACTTAAAATGTCACGCACCATGGAAATCATTCATAGTTGTACCGACACTCACTAACACCAATTTGACATACGGAGTAACCAAAGGGAGGTAAAAAAAGCCTCATGCCGGTACCGTGGATTATCTGTTGGAAATGTTTCTGTTTCGCTTCTGCTCGCTACTGAAATGCGTCAGATGTCATGCATGGCGTCTTAAAAAAGAAGTGACTACATTTATTTTTAGGTGAATGAATGAGTAAAGCAAGTGATTCCATAGGCACTGAAACAGACACACTGTCACGTGACTTCCAACAACAATGTGATGTGTGGACAACAATATCGGTGACCACTTTTTGTGACATTTTTTTAAAAAAATCAAATACAAGGATAACGACACAAACATAAGGACATTGTGAAATACTATATTATACTCTATGGAAAAAATAACAGCAATAGCCATGCAAAAAAAGAAGATAAAAAATGAAACTTATAGTACACGTAAAGTTCATTAACTGCAATAATTCGCTCAATTTCGTTCTACCAATCAACATTTTTATGCAATCATGTAAAAGAATTACACTTAAATAATATTAATTACACAACTAAACTGTTATTTCTTTTAATACTAAGAAGACAGAGTTTTAAGGTATATTTTTTTCAAGCATTCACATTGATACAAAGGCATTTAGAATACAATGAGCATTACAGACATCGCGTGCCACACTTTGCCAGTGCTTCTTCCCTAGGGAGAATCGACCTTTCAGTCTCAGAAGTCAAGGTGTTCGATTTTAAATCTGTCGAACAACCATCCATATCAAAAATGTGTGACAAACAAACAAAATAGCTACACTGGATGCCCTTAACACTGAGACGAGTCTAAATCATGCTTGGAGATGGCGTCAGAAAAGTTTTGAAATGGAGAAAAAAAAAGGTCGATTAATCAGGTCTATTAAATTCCAGAAAACGGTTTATTTGATCTTCATCAAAATGTGCAAGGGACTCACTTTGATTAATTGAAAATAGCGTAAGCATAGTTTGGTCAACTATTTACTTGTCAAGGTAATTTACAAAGTTCATAATCACTGACTTCCATGTATGGGTTGCCCTGACATCTAATGAAATGTCAATTATACTGTACACGTGTCACAATGTCTGTGTATTAAAATGTACTGTATTTATTTAAAAAAATATCGTGGAAAGCATTTGTCAAAAAGGCACACACATATATAACAAAATATAGCTAAGTACACACTCATTTAGCATGCCCTCATGAAAATGCAATAACTGAGCCACTTACAGTTTTTATGTTTTTCCTTAATATCTAACTTTAGTGGCCCCTACTTTGTTCTTAGTATCATAGTCCCTTTCATATGTCTCATTAGTGTGTCTTGGTTTGACTCTCTGAGCCTGAGGCATTTTCCACTAAACCATAATGATATTAAATGTTCCATTGGGTAAAATGATGTATAGTCTCTCTTGGTGTGGTTGAATTAACCTGACGTGAAAAAAAAGTCTGCAATCATTAGCCAAGCCCCTTTTGAAGTTCACACATTGCTGCTGTTTGAAAGCAATGGGCAAGTGGACATGCTAAGCATTTTGAAGCAAATCACAATTTGGGTCAGTGATATTAAGGTAAAAAAAATCGTATTCCTGTAAATACGTTCTGCTGCACAAACATGATTTGGTTGCAGAGTTCGTCTCGTTTATATGACCAGAAATGTGTGTTTGTTATCGATTCAATTCGCTGAAGAGCATTTATAAGGAAAATTTTATATTTCCACAGCATTGTATGGAACGCAACCCTTTGCGTCATATAAGTCTCTGTCACTATTATCGTCTAGCAATGAACACACAGTGGTACATCTATACAAATATTCCTCCCAGCTTAATACGCCATTGACTGTGTACTTATCCGTGGCACACTATATTGATATCCACATGTCTTAGGGTCCATGGCAGTTTAATATTAAGATTGTTTTACATTCATAACTCTCCATGGATTCATGTCCAAAAAGTCCTATTTAGCACAGAGAGCATTAGGGTCAATGTTGATTGTTTACAAGCTCATTCCACAGACACCCCGGCTGACTGAACCAAGCTCCCCAGGAAATAATCCATAAAATGCTTTCTGAGAATCATTCATCCAGCACCACAGTGGCATTTCAAGCTTAATCTCCCCGTGTATTTTCAGCAGCATGCATCAAGGTCCATATGGCTTATTTTAAGTTGGTAAATTCACGTCGTGGCTTAAGAGATTAGCAGACTGATAGCCTCATAAATAACCCCGGTTGCATTTTTTAATTGTGGGCTTTCTCCAGTCCTCGAAGCACAATAATAATTAGTTAAAATTGTAATACCCAGAGGTGCGTCTGCAGCACTCTTATGACAAGAAGAAGGTGCGCAGGTAAAGTGAAATATTATTATTATTATATAAATAACAACAACATACCTTGGTATTGTGCAGTAAACCCTCGCAGAGAGTTGTTGCTGTTGGACACAAAGTGAAGACGAAGCCAGTTCTTGCTGCTGATCATGGGAGAAGGCAGGCCCACTCCTGTCAACCTGTGGGAAGCACAAAGAAACATAGCGAAATGAGTGATCAAAGGGGTTTGGGTATATACGATGGCCTTTGGACAATTCACAGATCGCGGTCAGTCCTTGTTATAATATTCACTTGAAATTAAGTGGAAACATGGACACACAACACACATTCGATGCCACCCTATACATGCAATCAGTCGAGAATATTGCCTGTGCATTAATTTGCCTCTGCATGAATTTGGATGAAACCTCACATAACACTGCCAATATTAACAGCAATGCCATTTTATCTCCCTGATTGCACAATTGAAGCATCTCTAAATCTAAGTTCTGTACAATGAACTCTACCAAATGAAACTTTAATTTACCTTCAAAACCTAAAACTATCTGTTGTCTACGATCCGTCATACTCAACTTTTTAGATCTTATGTTGTATCTCTCAGTCTGAAGAAGCAATTCCATCACATAACCTACACTGTTGATTGCCCATATTGACACTTTTGCTGTGCATTTTCGGCGTTCCTGTAGACTCATACCTCTTCAAGAACCACCACAGTGGTGAGATGTTAACTCCATCGCCTGCTATGCACGCGGTCGTGGGTTCGACCCCAACCCTGATGCCTGCTGTATATTTGGAGTTTGCATGTCTTCTCTCTCCCTGTGGTTGTGTGCATTTTTTTCCAGGTCTTCCGGTTTTTCCCTCCACATTTAGACTCAACATGCGTTTAGATTATTTGGCTGCTATATATGTACACGAGATAAGCCACTTTGGTGAGCTATCATTTGTGATACGTAGGTCACTTCTGTAAAAGAGCTATATAGTTTAGTGGGCCTTACCCCTTCAAAAAAAAGTTTAATGTCCAAACTCAACAAAATACATGTTTGGTTATAGAGCTGAAATAGATTGGAAGAATGTTGGCGATGAAATTCACAACCACATTTGGAAGGCTCGCAAAACATCTCATTATTCAGCTCTGGCGAAGTCTAATCAGACTTTATTCTGGTCACTCACTTCTCTTAACAACTCTCCATCAATGTATCTATGACCCACGGTTGGCTCAGTATGGTGCGAATTAAGGTCAATATAAATACGTACAAAATATGTTTTCCATAATTCCAATGACACTGCTCTCCGATACATGGAATATTACCTTCTTGTCTTTTCAGACCACGCAAATTCGATTAACTTTGAGCACTTCCATATACTCTATGCTGGAATATCAAGCAAATATATCTCCTGGTTTAGCTCTCCGTTAAATTCTACTCGTCGTGGCGAGCAGAATACATACAAATTTAAGTGGATGTGACACTGCCAAAACTGAAGTCCTCTGATTTGACAAAAACACCACGTCTGAAAGTGCACCTCTTAAGTTCTGAGATCATAACGGCAAAAGGTGTGCACAACTTTTGAGAAATTATTGATCCTGAGCTCTCTTTCCACATCTCGCAGCTTTGCAGGACCTTCTACCTCCACTTACTCAACATCGACCACATCTGCTACTTCCTTGCACTAGGAGCTTCTAACACGCCCATCAACGTCTTCATCTCACCTCGTCGCATCTAATGCAATGCCCCTCAATGGCCTTCTCACACTCTTTCCCCTATGCCAGTGGTGGACTTTTCACTTGCATCCATAAACATGACTACATCACCTCTCCACTGGCTACTAATATAGTCTTGGAATAGCTACGAGATTGGTCTCCCTGTCTTCAAGATGCTCCATGGAGTTAACCCTTGCCAACCTCTCACCTCTTATCTCACTATAACTCCCTCCAAGCGCTCTCCACAACAGCAACCATGGCCTTATGTCGAAAACCCCAGTCAAGCGTCACCCAGTGGGAGAATGCTCCCTGTACCCTGCTGCTCAAATAGTTATATATACTCTACCCCAGTTTATCCATTCTCTTAACTATCTGCCTCTGTTCCTGTCCAGACTCAAGATATCCCTCTTCCCCTCTGCTGATGAGTATCTCCACCATTGGAAAACACACCGTACAGTGTACATACATTATTTAGCATATACCTCCTATTTCTGCATGATGAACATGCCTCACTGTTTTGTACAATGTCTTCAGATGCAGTTACATTTAAATGCTATATAAATCCAAAATACATTGCATTGTAGCTTAGCCGAACTTTCCCCGATGTCAGGTGAGTTACATTTGAACCTTATGGCGGGACCCCGGGGTCCCATAAGCTCCCGGCTCTCGCATAAACTGCGTTGCGACGTCATTTTATGTCCTTTGAAGGCGAACGATACGACAATCTATTCCTCTCGACGAGCTCTGCACGGTGCGTTAATCAAAGTTTTGTTTATGACAAGGGCATTCGTCCTTGCTGCGCTTGGACGACACGACAACAGAATGATCCGCGCCAGGTGCGTCGTGGCGTTCATGTGCGCGGTGGGACGGAGTCGCCAAAAACATAATTAATTAGTTAATTTTTAAATTACGATTTTGACTTCCGTTTATTTGGGTCCCCGGGGGTCCCGCCATAAGGTTACATTTGTGAAGATGACAGTGTCGGAAGAGACAGTAACAATATTAAATGCATATTCTATGGTTCTTTCGGTAAAGTCACGTAGATATAAAAATAATAATACAAATAAAGTGATTAAAAATAATAATAGATCACCACGTTCCGATCGACACACAAGCAATCGTCTTCAGGTGGGAGAGAGAAACAGGCTGCTGAAACAAGTCCTGTTTCTCTCTCCCACCTGAAGACGATTGCTTGTGTGGCGATCGAAACGTGGTGATCTATCATTATTTTTTCTTCTACCTACGTGAATTTACCGAAAGAACCAAGAGTATGGATTCCTGCAGTAACGAAAACTTCAAATCAAGATTGATTACAAATCTCACGACGTTTCGATCGCAACAAAAGCGGTCGTCATGTTCCTGATGACGACCGCTTGTGTTGCGATTGAAACGCCATGATATTTTTAATCACTTTATTTTCATGATAATTTTTCTATCTACGTGACCATTTACCGAAAGAACCATAGAATATGAATTCCTGCAATCGCGAAAGCTTTAAGTCAATAGTAAATGCAATGCCACACGTGGCTCTTAAGACACCTTGTGTCGTCACACCGTTGCACTGGAATGAACTTGTCACGCTGTTTTCTGCAAAGTGTTGTAGCTAATTTGTTTCTCAAGGAAGGTGACTGCTAAGTTCATGACACCATGGTTCCCTCGGAAACATTCACACCGGTGAAATGCAACAGCCCTCGCCAAGGGGGCTTTCAGTTGAGCATTTACTATTGAGAATAATAATGGCATGCTCCCCAGCGGACATCTCTTTGCCAAGAACTGTGTGAATGATTGCACAAAAATGCAGTTACAGGCACATTTGGTCCCAAAGCTGTGTACATTTGGAGTTGTTTATATATTTTGAAAAATAAAAGTTTTCAATGATGAGATGCAAAAGGGCAGGCAACAGCACTGACTTGCCCTGTGTCATGATATTAAAAACAGATGGAAAAAGTGAGCAGTGTTTGCAATAATAGGTTAAGGTGTGGCCCTGCAATTGTGTCCTCAATGTCACTGCAGGTGGAATGCCTTCTAATAGAAGACGCTCCTAGAAGCCCCTTTCGATGATATTTAGACTACTCTTCCTCTCTAGCTAGACATCTTTGAAGATATATTATCCCCCATACTTTACTTCACCACACACGAGCTGCCGATTGACCAATTTTGGTTCACCAATTTATACTGCTGTGTGGACAGAGGCAGGAGGATTTAAGAAACTCACACCGTTGTTTCAACTTCCACACCGGGAGAATTGATGACGTATAGGTTGCTAGTCCAGTGTGCTAATCATTGCACCACTGCAGTGTTACAGTGTTGTATAAGAGTAAAATAAACGAAAAGCAGCTGAATCACATTGCACCGTTTACCAGCAGTCCTCCTTAATTCCGTTACACTTTTTTCTCTCTCCTAGCTCAACTCATAAGCATTTCTGGTCTTGTTTTTCTGCAAGCATTAATATAGTTTTTTATTATTATTAATTTACCAATTATGGTTAAATCAATGTGGCCACATTGTGGGGTTGTAATTCATCAAAAGCCCTCCACTCACTATTGGGTGACTACTGATGTACCCTGCGTAGGTAACTACATCATGTACCCCCCCCCCCCACCCACCGTCGCATTTCTATCCATACTCAAGGTCAAAATAAATCAATGTTAACACCAACAATCTTTTACTTTGCTAAAAATGGATGCCCCGCATTAATAAAACGCGTGGACAGTTATGAATTACAAATATGGTGGCATATATATCGCAAACTCAATACTACATATATTTAGAAATGTCAATGTATAATGTTTTGCTTGTTTACTATCTTAATGTAACCAAATTGTACCAATTTGTGGCATGGCCACACCAGCATCACACAATTGGCAATTGTAATAATCGTGCATTTTCTTCAACCCTTGTAAATAAAGTTGCAAAATATTCCACTGAAAAGAAATATCTAAATGTACCAATGTGGTATAAAGGGTGTGGTTCTTTGTAGTCCATTCCACTTTGAGTTTATACTTGCCCAGTTGATGTTATTTCCTGTGGCTGATAATATACAAAGTGATGTTCCAAATGTATGAACGTAAAAACACTAACAAATATGTAATGATATGAATTTACTGACTTAGGTTTCAATGATTATAATGAACTGTTTTCTATGTTTAATCAGTTAAAATTAATTTAGCACGTTAAATTGCATATTATTGACACATTATGAGTCAGAGCCAAGATAGTTGCAAACATGGTATATCATAATTTCAGTAGATTATTTTTTCAATAGTACATTGATATAAATTATCCTAGTTACCATCAACAAAAACAACAACCACCATTTGCCACGAAGTGGCGGTGACCACGGCGCTTATGCCAAGCTATGTGCACTTTAAGGCCATGCGAAGTGTCGAATGCCCGCTGGCAGGAAGTCACGCGACAGACCCAGGTGCCATGGGTTGACTGACTGAGATGACTGGCTGATGCACCACCTGTGCCCCCTAT